TGCGTGGGAAATTAACGTCCGCTACTCCTAACCCTGCAGGAGACGGGGCCTACGGTTTATTCGTCCTTATCCGAGAAGAATAGAATATCTATCCATTTCTTCATATTATAGAAAGGTAGTACATTCTCCTCAGTTATTTTAAGACCATAAGTATTGGTCCGGCGTATCCTGTGTTCTGACTGGCTACCCGAGCGGGCAAAGATGGGCCCATCTTTCCCGCGTGAGATTGCCAGTATTGATCCCGCGCATGAAAAATAGAATTAGAACTATGTTCGTAATTCTTGGACAATTTCGGCGATGGAAACGCAAAAAGTGGCAGAAGATAAACAAAACAAAGAAACAGAAACTACTCTCGTGAGGTTGGTGTGCCAAAAACACAATTGGCTTTAACGTTTGTGAATATATAAAAGTCATATATTTGAAGTGCGGTTAAAGAACGAGTATGATAACGATGCCGGTGCAGTGCCTTTTCAGGCCTCAGCGGTAATGGGTTCGAATCCCGTACGGGCCTGAATCTTTTTCAGGCCTCATTTTCATTACTGCTTAAGTAGTGTTCGTTACTGCGATAATCGTTCTCATCCAGTTGGCTTTCTTTCCCAGCTCTCGAAGGAAACAAGTCATTCTAAATTCTTAATAAGGCGAAATATTTTGCATTATAATAAATCCCTTATTAACCAAGCCTGTTCGGTCAAGATGGCTGGATATAAGTTTTTCGCATTTAATGCAAATGAAACAACAGAACTCGACCAATATCCAGCCATCTTCACCTCACGCTTGGTTAATAACGCACATGTAAAACGCGATATCAATATGACCGAGTGCGACGTCAATTGTCAAATACTGCCTACGATAAGCGCTTTTAAAACTTACCCTTGACAAAGAATTCGAGCCCGTGAGATAATAAACACCTCTACTTTTCATTGTTAAACATGTCACATTCCGTGAGGTGATGTGGTAGGAAACATTCGGTAGCGGGCCATTTGATTGAAAAAGAGCCTAAAACAAGTAAATTGTAAGGAATTTGAACATACGATGTATTTCAATTACAAATCCCTCAATCCGTATACTGTCTTATATTAAACTGTGTTAATATTAATTCGATTACGTATTCTTATGTGACTACCTGAGGCTGGGACATTTTCACAAACAATTAGCTTGTTCTTCGGAAAGTGAAGCGACTTTCAGCACCCAAGTTTCAGGTTGGTAATTCCGAGAAGCACTAATGATGAATAATTCCAGCGGTGAGGAAAATTCATTTGATTTGGAATTCACCTTTTGGGTGTCCATTTGCTACTTGCTATACAGTTTTCTCTTTGGTAGCTAATCGTTAGCAACTCCCTTCGTGATCCACTTACTTGGTTTCGACGTTCGCATTTCATGACCAAGAAGAGAGCTGTTCGCCTTTCGAAACAAGGACTTTAGATCTGTATTTTCAAAGCTGTGTATATCAGTAAAGCTGGTGAAGGTCGTATAATTGTCCCGGCTCCACCATATCATTGTTGTATCGATGTTTTCTCAAGCGAAATGTGTTCCAGCAGGGCTCAAGAATTCTGTGTTATGAGTATTGGTGTTACAGCTGAGTAGTCTCCGAAAGCAAAGCTCATGACAATGTAGTTTTTAGAAGAAGTGACTTGGAATAACATTTGACGATAAAAACTTGCGACAAAACGTTGCTTGATAACATTGTAAAATTTAGAAACGATAAAAAGCTATGGAAAGCTAAAATCGACGACGTTTCGTG